GGCGGGAAAACACGGAGCGGATTAGCGGAATCGGCGGATCTTTAGCGGAGCGGTAACAGACCGTTGGTGAGAGGGGCAACTCAGCCGATGAGGGCAAAGGGGCAGTGGCTCTAGCCACCGGTCCACCCCCCTGTGCGAAACATTGCCAGAGTGGTTTAACAAGCGTTAACAGAGCCGTACGTAAATCATTCAGTTCTGGTATTTTTAATGGAACCGCTTCTTAATAAGAACCCACAGAATACATACAGCCGTAGAATGCGGTGGCCTTTAATTGGTTGTAACTATTATATGAAGACAACTTTGGCATTTATTCAGGTAATTTATGAGGCTGAAATAAGGTGTTTACTTTGTATATCACCTGAAGATGGCGTCACAGGTCCATTTTCTCTCTGGCGTTCTCAAGGTCAAAGCCATCAAACATGGCCGCTTCATGAATCGCAGACAGCTCCTTGCTTGTAAAGGAATGAGTTCCAAACCTTAAAAATATTACCAAAGCAGTTAGAAAAAAAGGCAAGACCTGACCAAATAATATTGTCTAATTCTACAGTCATACCATTGTCTTTATTAGTAGCCTACATGATGGATGCAGTCCTAGCCTGTGGTGCTGTTCCTCTGTGTAAGAAAACATCTCTCCTCTAATCTCACTTTCTTCACTTATGCTTTCATAAGGATAAATGCCTAGACATCTGTCCAAATCTGTTCTTGTAATAAAATCAGTGAAAAGTCATTTTGTGTTATTATTGTAAGTCACAAAATGTGTAGAAGTGTAAAACAAATTAATGTGTCAGTAAGAATGTGAGATTATTATTATTTTTTTATCATATGCACTATTGGCACACAAGAAAGTGAGTGAAGTGTATGACTAAACCTAGCGCCCAAGCAGCACAAGCTTGGTGACACCAAGCAAAATCACAAAAATATAAGTCTAGATATCAGAAATGTAAATTTAATAATAACCATAATTATAAAATCTAACCGTCTTTAATGTTGTTTAACTTTTTAGTTCAAACAGTAGCACATGGTGCTAGCAATGCCAAGGTCATGGATTCCCAGCAAATGCATGAACTGATAAATTGCGATGTAAGTTGCATTGGATAAAAGCGTCTGCCAAATGCGTAAATAAAACAGCCTCTCTTCATAATGACACTCCTACACTTCATACCTCATTATTTTAAGAATCTCTCTATACTGTGAGTGTATATATGAAGATCTGCTACAGCACACCCAGTGTGTGAAGGTGAGTTCATGCAGCTCTGACGTAAAGGCTGACGTACAGCCACTTTGGTGATGAAAGGGGTGGGCTGCAGTGACAGACTTCTCCTTATTGAGGAGGGGTTGCCAGCCATCGAAGCCCCTCCCCTTTGATTATCTATGTCTGTCTCTCCTTCCTTCTCTCTCTCCCTTTTGCTCTGTCTGCCAGGCTGAGGTGGTTTCAGACCGTGCATCACAAACACACACACACACACACATACACGTGCCACTCTATGTCTCTAGTAGCTCTCCAATCATCTCCTCTCTCCTCCTCCTCCTCCTCTCTCACCATGGAGTCACATCACTGAAGAGTGGATTGTTCCTCCTGTTTTCTCCTCTTCTCTCCTCTGCACTTCATTCGGTGTGTTTGGGTGTCTGTTTCAAGGTGGGAATGCTCGTGTCTGCGACAGCGCTGTTGGGGGCTACGCTGGGAACCGTGTCTGGAGTGTTGACGCTGTGTGGTCTCTCCCTGCTTTGCAAGAGCTGTAAGAAGGGGAAAATATTATATATTATATACTATAAATATTCATATCAGTCCTGCAAATCAAAAGAGAATGATCAAAATCAACCATCTGTGTTCTCAAATCAGATCAGCTCTCTCACAGAACTCTGATTATTTCAAAGTACATTGAGTTCATCCAGTAACAGGCAAGTTAAGAATGGTGAGGGACAAGTGTTTTATTATTAGAATCTTCTCCAGACTGCTTTTATAAGAGGTAATTAGTTTAGAAATGATTTGTCTGTCTGTGTTTTTGTGTATGTGCACACACTCGTGTACACACATACTCACACGCTGGTGTTGTTCGGCATCTGCTGAGCTTTCCCTGAAACAGTCTAGAGTCACGACTCATGTAGCTGCACGCACACACACACACAGAAAAAAAACATTTTTGCAGTTTAACATTTATGTTTTTTTTTATGTTTATTAAGCTGTTTTTCTCATAGGGACCATTGGCTCACAATGTACATGATTTCAGATTTTACTGTCCTTTTGGGGACACTTTGGTCGTCATGATGTTAGCAAAAACCGACCCCTCCACACACACACTTCCTTTCATAGTCTTTGTTTATTAATATATTTGTTTATTTATGCAGTCAAGAATAATCACTTACAGACAATAATATGTGTTTGCTGAAGGAAGAGCAATAGGAAAATATCGAAAAGAGACATCACACAATATACAGACCACACACACACACACACATACACGTGCCACTCTATGTCTCTAGTAGCTCTCCAATCATCTCCTCTCTCCTCCTCCTCCTCCTCTCTCACCATGGAGTCACATCACTGAAGAGTGGATTGTTCCTCCTGTTTTCTCCTCTTCTCTCCTCTGCACTTCATTCGGTGTGTTTGGGTGTCTGTTTCAAGGTGGGAATGCTCGTGTCTGCGACAGCGCTGTTGGGGGTTACGCTGGGAACCGTGTCTGGAGTGTTGACGCTGTGTGGTCTCTCCCTGCTTTGCAAGAGCTGTAAGAAGGGGAAACTTGAGAGAGGGGACGATACTGACCCAGAGAAAGCCAAACCCAGTATCCTGCATACTCTGACGCAGGTAAGAACAATACTCATGGACCGGCAACCAGGTTTGGTTTTAAATACAGACACAGACAAGAGCTTGTAAAAGAACAAACAGAGATGAGAACACAGGCTGGGATATGCAACGAGCTAAATGTTCTGACTCACCTGAGTGGAAGGATGGAAGTGGCACTTACATAACACAGGTTAGCTCACTGAGGCAGAAACAATAATACTGTACTGAAAAGGATTTCTTTGCATGCATCTGAAAACTCTTTACTGGATGACTGTGTCATCATGCCTGCTCATAATATAACATTATGGTGTAAATGTACTGAAAATGATGTTCTACTCTATGATTACATATAGTACATACATTGTAAATCCAATTTAATGGCTGCTGTAGTTGCTTATATGTCACCTTATTTCATATTTCTGGTATTACTGGTGCTTAGTAGGAGCAGAAAAACGAACACAATCTCATGACAATTTGTATTTCATATTTTGGCAAACTGGTGGTTAATTTGTATGAATTTGTATGATCTCATTCATACCTTTTCGTATGATTTGCTCACTCCCCATATGACATGTTCAGGGGTGGACCTTCATGCTTACTTTTTTCCTAAAAAAAAAAAATTACCTAAAAAAATAATAATAATAATATATATATATATATATATATATCACAAATAATTTTTTTCATGAAATACATGAAATAT